TATATATGTGTATATATATATATATATATATATGTATATACATATATATATGTATATATATGTGTGTGTGTGTATATATGTGTGTGTATATATGCATGTGTGTATATATATATGTGTGTGTATATATGCATGTGTGTGTATATATGCATGTGTGTGTATATATGCATGTGTGTGTGTATATATGCATGTGTATATATATATATATATATACGTATATATATATATATATATGTATATATATATATACGTATATATATATGTGTGTATGTATATATATATATATATATATATATATATATATATATATATATATATATATATATATATATATATATGTGTGTATATATATATATATATATATATATATATATATATATATATATATATATATATATGTATATATACATATATGTGTGTGTATATATGCATGTGTATATATATATATATATGCATGCATGCATGCGCAGCTGTTAAGATATGCATCAATAACCATGGTGTGGGTGGGGGCTCTTGATCTGTATTTAGGGTGCAGCTGCTCTCTGTCCAAATATCTGCACTGGTTATGGTGGGCCCACCACCACTCCCAGGGATACACATGGTTCCCCCCCATCAGACGAACATGTCATTGTCGAGCATGTTACACCCCCTCGTACAGCTGCACACAGCCTGTTTGTGTTCATTTCAACACTTTCTGGATGACGGTGTTCTGCCTGAACTCCTTCAGATAGTTCTGTGAACAAAACATTAGCACATAATTCAGAAGAGGTTTATTGACAGAACTGCAGGACCTGTGCAGTTGTTCGTGTGTAAAGTAACCTGATAATGTTGAGATTACAGAATAAGAATAATCTGTTGAACTCTTCCGGAGCCGCTCATGAATTCACTGGGTTGTATTTGCAGGTGCCTCTTGCTGCTGATGGTTTTACTTTTTGGCTACAAACCAGTTTGTACCATGTATGTCCACCAGATGGAAACTGGGGAGAACTGTAATAATTTCAATCTTCAGTGAAAATGTGTGAAAGCCGAGTGCTCAAGAAGTCTGCTAACATTTACTGATGTTCTAACTTAGTTATTGAAAATGAGCAAGACTAATAAATACAGTGAAATTAGAGGTAAAGGCAAAAATTACCATAACTCTAGCTAACAATGGCAAATGGCAAAATTGTAGCTAAGAGCTAAAATTAGCTCAGATATAGCTGAACGCGCAAAATATCTAAAATGTACCTAAAACTAAAAATAATAGTTAAAAGTAGAAGCTTGCTAGATTAAAAAGTGGTATAAGAAAACACAATAGGTGTCATTGATCCTGCTGCTAGAAAAATAGTATTTTGTGCAAACATGCAGACGATCAAATGACAGCCGAACACTAAAGATTATTATGAGCTGAAACGAGCAAAACAGGCTGAGGTGAACACAACAGCTACAAATTAAAACGTAGAACACTGAGGAAGAAGTCGCAAAGCGTGTTTGTTGGCAAGACTGCAGCTAAAAGAAGCTGAACAGTAGGTAGTCTGTTGGCTAAATAGCAGCTGAAAGCTAAAATGATCAAAATAGCAGCTGAAAGCTAAAATGATCAAATAATGTAAAAGACGAGGATTCTGTTTTTGCGGCAACATTTTGGTTGAGGTGCAAACATGAAGGTGATCCTCAAGGGCAGTGTGGAAAATGTTTCTGCTGTTTTAGGAGTTGAGCACGTCTCAGAGGAGTGGAGGCAACGTACTGCAGATGATGTATGAGAAGCCAGAGAGATGGGCCTACACCTTCCAGAGCTACGCCTGCATCAGCCGGATCCGAGCCCAGACCAGATGGAGCCGCAGGAAGCTCGCCACGGCAGAGGACCCCGTGCAGTTCTTCGAGCGCTCCGTGTACAGCGACAGGTACCAGCATTAACCACCATCATCTTTTTATGTGTGTGTTGGACTGCGGGTAGAACATCTCCTGAACCACCGAAAGGACTTTACTAAAAGTCTTCAAGTGATCATGCACAACTCAACTGTTTAATTTCTGGAGTCCTGCTGTAGGAGGTTACGCCTGCATGCTCTTCAACACTAATCTGAAGTGTGCCCTGTCTCGGCTCCACCTCGTGTCTCAGGTACATCTTTGCTTCCAACCTTTACGAGAGCGAGTGTCTGAACGAGACGGAATGGTCCGTGTACCAGGACATGCACAGCTGGCTCCACAACCAGTTCGGCCAGCACCTGGAGCTGGACGGTGTTATTTACCTGAGAGCTTCACCAGAGGTACTCCCTACAGTCGTACTGACTTCTGTCAATGTTCACAGAACTGAACATGGAAAACTGTTGGACATTATTAAAAATGAAGTCTTCTTCTTGGTCTGGCTCAGAAATGTTTGGAAAGGTTACACCTGAGAGGGAGACCGGAGGAGCAGCACATCCCACTGGAGTACCTGGAGAAGCTCCACTTTAAGCACGAGAGCTGGCTGCAGCACAAGAAGATGGCGTGAGTCATCACGTGCACACGCTCCAACATGCTTCCATCAGGAAGTCGTCATGAGAGACAGCACCTGCGTTTAGTGCTGAGACAACCTGTGCACAAGTTTCAACACTTGTGTTGACAGAAGCAGGTGTTCAGTCTGAGGCTGGATGTCCTGGTCTACTGGACCCTGTCTCTACTGGACCCTGTCTCTACTGGACCCTGTCTCTACTGGACTCTGTCTGTAGTGGACCCTGTCTCTACTGGACCCTGTCTCTACTGGACCCTGTCTCTACTGGACTCTGTCTGTACTGGACTCTGTCTCTACTGGACTCTGTCTGTAGTGGACTCTTTCTGTAGTGGACCCTGTCTCT